TAGATTAAAACATGCCTATTAAAATCAGAATCCAAATTATTATTATTATTATTATTATTATTATTATTATTATTATTTCTTACCCAACTCTCCTTATGGCTTGAGGCAAGTTACAAATCAATTAAAATACATAAACACAGCATAAACTAAGCTTGGAGGTAACGTGAGGAGGGAGAAGGGGAGGGGGATGGGTTTAGAAGGGGGCGTGGCTTGGAGGTAACGTGAGAAGGGGGGAGGGGGGATGGGTTTAGAAGGGGGCGTGGCTTGGAGGTAACGTGAGGAGGGAGGAGGGGAGGGGGGATGGGTTTAGAAGGGGCGTGGCTTGGAGGTAACGTGAGGAGGGAGGAGGGGAGGGGGGATGGGTTTAGAAGGGGCGTGGCTTGGGGGTAACGTGAGGAGGGGAGGGGGGATGGGTTTAGAAGGGGGCGTGACTTGGAGGTAACGTGAGGAGGGTAAGAGGGAGGAGGGGAGGGGGGATGGGGGCGCGCGCGCGCGTGTGTGCCGCGCGGGGGGGAGAGGGGGCGCACACGCGCGCGTGTGTGCCGCGCCAGGGGAGTGAGGGGGCGCGCGGGCGCGCGTGCGTGTGCCGCACCGGGGGGGGGGAGGGAGCGCGCGCGCGCGCGTGCCGCGCGGGGGGGTGTGAGGGGGCACGCGCGCACATGTGTGCGTGTGTGCCACGCCGGGGGGGTGAGGGGGCGCGTGCGCGCGTGTATGTGCATGTGTGTGTGTGCTGCGCCGGAGGGGGGAGAGGGGGCGCGTGCGCACGCGTGTGTGTGCCGCGCCGGGGGGGGTTGGGGGTGCGCGCGCGTGTGTGCCGCGCCGGGTGGGAGAGGGGGCACGCGTGTGTGTGTGTGTGCCGCGCCGGGGGGGGGGAGGGGCCGTGCGCGCGCGTGTGTGTGTGCCGCGCCGGGGGGGGGGGAGGGGCCATGTGTGTGCGCGCGCCAGGGAGTTTGCGCCAGTGCGCATGCTCAGTTGCTTTGCCGTTTATTGTGGTTGTTGTGTGTTTTTGATTTCTGACTGGATTAGTTTGTACCTTGTTGGTTGCCCTTGGGGCATGGGAAGTTTGGTGGAGTTTCGTTGGGGGGTTTTAGAGTTTTGTTTCCTCATACGACGCTAGGAGGAAATTTATATATATAGATAGAATCAAAGAGTTGGAAGAGACCTCATGGGCCATCCAGTCCAACCCCATTCTGCCAAGAAGCAGGAATATTGCATTCAAATCCACCCCTGACAGATGGCCATCCAGCCTCTGTTTAAAAGCTTCCAAAGAAGGAGCCTCCACCACACTCCGGGGCAGAGAGTTCCACTGCTGAACGGCTCTCACAGTCAGGAAGTTCTTCCTAATGTTCAGATGGAATCTCCTCTCTTGTAGTTTGAAGCCACTGTTCCGCGTCCTAGACTCCAAGGAAGCAGAAAACAAGCTTGCTCCCTCCTCCCTGTGGCTTCCTCTCACATATTTATACATGGCTATCATATCTCCTCTCAGCCTTCTCTTCTTCAGGCTAAACATGCCCAGTTCCTAAGCCGCTCCTCATAGGGCTTGTTCTCCAGACCCTTGATCATTTTAGTCGCCCTCCTCTGGACACATTCCAGCTTGTCAATATGTCTCTTGAATTGTGGTGCCCAGAATTGGACACAATATTCCAGATGTGGTCTAACCAAAGCAGAATAGAGGGGTAGCATTACTTCCCTAGATCTAGACACTATGCTCCTATTGATGCAGGCCAAAATCCCATTGGCTTTTTTTGCCGCCACATCACATTGTTGGCTCATGTTTAACTTGTTGTCCACGAGGACTCCAAGATCTTTTTCACACGTACTGCTCTCGAGCCAGGCATCCCCCATTCTGTATCTTTGCATTTCATTTTTTTCTGCCAAAGTGGAGTATCTTGCATTTGTCACTGTTGAACTTCATTTTGTTAGTTTTGGCCCATCTCTCTAATCTGTCAAGATCGTTTTGAATTCTGCTCCTGTCCTCTGGACTATTGGCTATCCCTCCCAATTTGGTGTCGTCTGCAAACTTGATGATCATGCCTTCTAGCCCTTCATCTAAGTCATTAATAAAGATGTTGAACAGGACCGGGCCCAGGACGGAACCCTGTGGCACTCCACTTGTCACTTCTTTCCAAGATGAAGAGGAAGCATTAGTGAGCACTCTCTGTGTTCGTCCACTTAACCAATTACAGATCCACCTCACCGTAGTTTTGCCTAGCCCACATTGGACTAGTTTCCTTGCCAGAAGGTCATGGGGGACCTTGTCGAAGACCTTACTGAAATCCAGGTACGCTACATCCACGGCATTCCCCGCATCTACCCAGCTTGTAGCTCTATCGAAGAAAGAGATCAGATTAGTCTGGCATGACTTGTTTTTGATAAATCCATGTTGACTATTAGCGATGACTGCATTTGTTTCTAAGTGTGTGCAGACCGCTTCCTTAACAATCTTTTCCAGAATCTTGCCCGGTATCGACGTGAGGCTGACCGGACGGTAGTTGTTTGGGTCATCCTTTTTTCCCTTCTTGAAGATTGGGACCACATTGGCCCTCCTCCAATCTGCTGGAACTTCTCCTGTTCTCCAAGAACTCTCAAAGATGGTTGCCAATGGTTCCGAAATGACTTCCGCTAGTTCCTTCAATACTCTGGGGTGTAGTTGATCTGGCCCTGGGGACTTGAACTCATTAAGAGCGGCCAGGTATTCCTGGACGACTTCTTTCCCAATTTGGGGTTGGATGTCCTCCAATCCCTCATCCACTCTATCTTGCTGAGGTTGAAGACTCTCTTTTTGTGAGAAGACCGAGGCAAAGAATTGATTTTAAAGTGGAGATGATTGCTGTTAGTGTTTATGTATATTTATAGTTTATATTCTGGCATTGAATGTTTGCCGTATATATGTTGTGCTCCGCCCTGAGTCCTCTTTGGGGTGAGAAAGGCAGAATATAAATGCTTTAAATAAACAGTACTGGATGCAATATTGTGCCACTGAATACAATATTGTTGTAGTAGTTAAAACACTACACCAGTGGACATACAATATCATGTTAGCAGCTTCAATAGCAATTGCCAGTGCTATACTATTGGGCCATCACCTAAAGTACTTTGCCATCAGCTACAACATGCGTGGGCCGACTGGCTGTTAGAGACTGTGGGGATTTAGAGTCCAAAATGCCTGGAGGGCTGAAGTTGGCCCAAGCCTGCCTTACACCCACTGCCATTGCAATACCATTATGCCTAAAGTAAAAGGTGTCACTTCCTCAGCCAGTCATTTGGTTCGCAGCTTGGGAGTTCTCCTGGACTCATTACTGAGCCTGGAATCCCAGGTAGCAGTGGTGGTCAGGGAAGCATTCGCACAATTAAAACTTGTGCGCCAGCTGCGCTTGTACCTTGGGAAGTCAGACTTGGCCACAGTGGTTCATGCTCTTGTTACATCTAGGATAGACTACTGCAACACACTCTACGTGGGGTTGCCTTTGAAGACTGCTCGGAAGCTTCAAATAGTCCAACGAGAGGCAGCCAGGTTAATAACTGGGGCGGCATACAGGGAGCATACAACTCCCATGTTATGCCAGCTCCACTAGCTGGCAGTTTGCTACCACGCAAAATTCAAAGTGCTGGCTTTGGCCTATCAAGCCCTAAACGGCCCCAGCCCAAATTACCTGTCCGAACGCATCTCCCCATCGCGGAGATTAAGATCCTCCAGGGAGGCCCTGCTTTCCGTCCTGCCATTGTCACAGGCATGACTGGTGGGGACGAGAGACAGGCCCCCCCGGCTATGGAACTCCCTTCCTGGTGAGATCAGGTCGGCCCCCTCCCTCCTGTCCTTTAGAAGGATGGTCAAAACTTATTTATTTATTTTGAACATTTTTACCCCGCCCTTCTCAACCCCTAGGGGGACTCAGGATGGCTTCCAATTGGCAATAATTCAGTGCCGCATCATAAAATACAAAATAGCAAATATAACAATTAAAAAAACATGAACATTAATAAATAAAGATTAAACAGTATACTTACGATCCATTTAGCTATTGCCAGTCTGGTGGCTATTTATCTAGCCATATACTAATGATTACTCCACTTAAATTATCCAAATCCACTTCCAAGCCATAGTCAAACATTATCAATTGTCCTTTAACCTAATTGCTCGAAGGCCTGGTCCCACAACCACGTTTTTACCTTCTTTCTAAAGGTGAGGAGGGATGACCTAATTTCCCCAGGAAGCTAATTCCACAGGCAGGGGGCTACCACCAAGAAGGCCCTGACCCTCGTCCCCGCCAAACGTGTTTGAGTCAAAGGTGGGGCCAAGAGCAGTGTCTCTCCAGAAGATCTTAAGCTCCAAGGTGGGATGTAGAAGGAGATACGTTCGGACAGGTATGCTGGCTTGGCTGTGGGACCAAGTTTTCGGGACAGGGCAATAAAGCGGCAATAGGAAAAATGACCAGGCCAATTAGATTTGATACAGATGACTAGGACAGTTTTAAATAGTGTATTTTAATATTCTGATAAATGTTTTAATGTTTATTTATGTGTATGTGAATTTGTGTCCCGGCATTGAATGTTTGCTGTGTACATGTATATGCTATGCCCTGAGTCCCCTTCAGGGTGAGAAGGGCGGAATATAAATGTTTTTAATAAATAATAAATAAATACATTTGTAGTGTCTTTGCTGTGTTTGTGTATTTTAATTGTTTTCTAACTCACCTTGAGGAGAGGCGAGTAAAAAAATAATGTCAACCTATCTGAAAATTTTGAAAATAAAATTCCAAATGAAACCTGAATATTACTTACTGAGAATAACACACGTGAGTATGAATAAGACTCAAGATATCCTATTAGAATAGTATATGCAAGAACCAGGAAGACTAAAGAAAATCCAACAGAAGAAGATTGGAAATTAAAAGTCATGGATATAAAGAACAACGCCCACAATGCCGCACACCCTACTCCAGTTCCCCAAATGCCCAGCCCTGATCGGCCTGCCTTCCACGCCCGCCCCGCTCTCTCACCGGACGTAGGGGCTGGCGGCGGCCAGGATGTTGGTCTGGACGGGGATCTCTCGCCCCTCGAGGACCAGGTGGGCGTCGCAGAAGCGGCCCTCCTCGCGGAAGGCGCTCAAGGCCCGCAGGAGCCGCGCCGGGTGCTGAGGGTCGGCCACGGCGCTGCCTTGCGCCCCGGAGGACATCGCGGCCTGCACGGAGAAGAGAGGCCCCGGCCTCGAGTGGCTTCCCTCCCCGCTCACAAGGAGCCCTGCCTCCGCCTCTCCCTCTCTCTCTCAGTCTCCCGCGTTCCTTCAGCGGCTCCGCTCGCGCCTCAGCCGCCCGCTCTCCTTCGTGCCGGGCGCCGTCATTGCGCCTCGCCCCGCTGCGTCATCACACCGCGACGCCTTCCTAATCTGGCCCCGCCCCCTAAAGGGCGGGGCTGAGGGGCCAGCTGGAACCAGGTGGAGGGGGCGTGGCCTCTTGCCCTCGTGGTGACAACAAGGAAAACAACACATGGAATAATACGAAATAATAACAACAACAATAATATAACAACAAATGGAGTAATCGTAAAAAATAATAACTAACAATCTATCTTTACATCTATACATATAATATATATATATATATAATATAATATAATATAAATAATGTATAATAAATATAAATAAATCATAAATGCATAAATGAATAAATATAACTAAGCAACGGCCACTCTGGGGCCAGAATAAAGGAGGGGAGCCGGGAGGACCTTGCCACCTCGTCCCCTGTGACATCAGCGCCCCTCCCCTATCTAGCCATAATGTAATATTATGTAGTCCTAGTGTTATGAATGATGTAATATCCGAACGTATCTCTGCCTATGAACCCACCAGGACCCTGCTCTTGATCCCGCCTGCATCACAAGCACGGCTGGCGAGGACAAGGGACAGGGCCTTCTCTGTGGTGGCCCCTCAGCTGTGGAACGCCCTTCCCATGGACATTAGATCAGCCCCTTCGTTAATGGTGTTTCGAAGAAAACTAAAAACATGCTGTTTGAACAGGCGTTCGGATAAATAGCGCAATGAACGATGAATATAGGAAATGGAATTATGGATGACAAATTGGATCACGATTTTAGTTACGAGACGTTGATGTGTTGTTATTGATGTGTCATCATTTTGTATATTATGCTGTTAATGGTTTTAATATTGTATGTTGTTCGATTGACTTTTGCTCTTGTTGTGAACCGTGTTGACTTGCCTACGGGCTGAGAAACTGCCGTATACAAGCAAAGTAAATAAATAAATAAATAAATAGTACTATGCTAGTTATGGATTATGTAGTATCTTGTATGTTGTATGTACTTATGACTTGTAAGCCGCTCTGAGTCCCCTTCGGGGTGAGAAGGGCGGCATATAAATGTCACAAATAAATAAATAAATAAATAATACCTATATAAAGGAATAAATATATAAAAATAATAAGAAATAAATATAAATAATAGAAATAGTTAAATAGAAATAATGATAAATAATAATACTTAATATAATACAATATAAATGTTAAAAGTGAAAATGTGTACAAAATGGAAAATAATAATAAATCATAATTAATATATATATAATATAAATACATAATATAATAGATATAAATAGAGTAAAGGTTGTCCCCTGACATTAACTCCAGTTATGTCTGACTCTGGGGTGTGGTGCTCATCTCCATTTCTAAGCCAGCGTTGTCCATAGACATCTCCAAGTTCATGTGCTAGGTTGCAGAAGCTAGAGCTGACAGCAGAAGCTCACACCGCTCCCTGGAATCAAACCTGCAGCCTTTCGGTCAACAAGCTCAGCAGCTAAGCACTTTAACCCACTGCACCACCGGGGGCTCTATAATAGGGTTATAGATATAATAGATATAAATAAATATATAAAAAAGTGAAACTATGTATGTGTGTATGTGGCTGGGTTGTTTACTTACACAAACAAGCTCCTGCCTCTACAAATAGCTATAGGTCCCACTGCTCAGGAGACACTAATGGCCCTCCCTCCAATGACATTGCAGGTTATAGGGAGCGCCATGAACATGTCTAAGAGCCTTGCCAATGTCCTCCACAAACAGCATCCTGCCCACCACCCAAATGAAAGCTTTCATTGGGGGGGGGGGCAATATCATCCTAGATTTTATGTGTTTCCTCCACCACAGACACCCTAGTGTTTCTATTATTATTATATATAATAATATATAATATAATAATATAATAATAAATAATACGTATATAAAGGAATAAATATATTAAAATAATAAAGAAATAAATATAAATATAAATATTTGGTGCGGAATTTGCATGATCCCACCCATTGCCTCTCCCTTAACGCTTTCTACTCCTACTCCATTCTATAGCACATAGCAAACAGAGCAGAAATGCTCATCAACTGAACATACTGGAGCGGGTTGGGGGACTGACTCAACATGTTGGAAGCTGTTCACTCTGCATCAAGACAGAGCACTGAGACCCCCACTAAAATAGGTCTGGACCAAATTTGGCACACAGAAACCCCATGACCAATGAAAAATATTGCAGAGGTTTGGGGAGAATTCACCTTGATTGGGGGGAGTTGTAGTTCACATATATATCCAGAGAGCACTGTGAACCCAAAAAATGATGAATCTGGATCAAACTTGACACACATACCTGATACACCCAGATTTGAATACCGGAGTGGTTTGGGAGGAACTAACCTTGATTTCTGGGGGTTGTAGTTGACCTACATCCGGAGACACTGGACCCGGAGACACTGGACCCAGTCCAAATTTGGCACACAAAACCCCCATGATCAACTGAACGTACTGGAGGTGTTTGAGGGAACTGACTCACCATGGTGGGAGTTGCCGTTCATCCTGCAGTCAGATACCAAAGTGAAACCCACCGAAGACACATCTGGAGCAAACACATGACCAATATGACCAACTGTAAATACTGATGGCATTTAAGGGAGTCCAACTGTAAAGGTGTGATTTGTAGTTCACCCACAACCTTATGTATTTTCTTAATAGATCCATTCATAAAATTAAACTTGCAACACAAACAAGCAAGTATATAATAAAAGTGATTGATGCTATTATTTTTGAAAACTACTGAAATAATCCTGTTTTAGGCAATATCTTGCTTTAATAATAATGCTGAATGTACCCAAGTAATACCCGCAAACCCTTTGATTAAGGTAAACTGTTGGATTCCAGTAATACCCTCTTCCTTTGGTTTGTTTTTGTTTTGTTTTGTTTTTATCTGACCAATTTGTTTGGGATCAATTTTGGAGCCTTGGCTCTAGCAATATCACTGCATGACTTCAGGGACACGGGATCAAATCATCCACTCCGGATGCAATTAGGACACTTGAAATCAATCCAGCCACTTAAAGGATTGTTCCTGCTCCGATGTGTTGAAAGACATCTAATGCAATGTTTGTAAGCAAGTTAAGCTTACAACACAACTTGTGGGCAGGCAATATTAAAGGTGAGCAATGTTTTTGTGGCACAGCACCAAGCTGGCTCATTTTCCTGGTAGGGATGACCTGCTTAATTTCAAATTTATTCCACTGGAATTAAATCAGCTGGTCAAACTTAGGGGTGAACCTACAATGCAGTTTGACATCACTTTTACTGCCACAGCACAATGCTATGAAATTATGGGAGTTGTAGTTTACAGGTTCTTTAGCCTTCTCTGCCAAAGAGTGCCTGTGCCTCCCCGAAACACAACTGCCATGATTCCATAGTTACGGTTGCGGTTAAAGAGGTAAGTAAACATAAAGGTTTCCCCTTGACATTAAGTCTAGTTGTGTCTGAGTAGGAGGTGGTGGTCATATCCATTTCTGAGCTGAAGAGCTGGTTTTGTCCATAGACACTTCCAAAGTCATGTGACCGGCATGACTGCACGGAGCGTCATTACCTTCCCACAGAAGCAATACCTATTGATCTATTTGTCGCACCTCAGAGTAGATTAATCTTGCTAAAAACACCAAACTGCACACAGCCAGAAGTCTTTATAGTTTATTAAAAAGTAAAAGGTTCTTAAAAGCAAAAGTAAAGTTCCAAAAGCATCAATACAAAATAACACTTGGAAGCATAATCCAAAAAGACACCAGCAAAGCAAAATCTTATGAGAACATGACTGAGTCCTAAGACCACAAACAGAAGAACTGTAGGACAATCCAGACAAGCAGAATGCAAACTTTTGGGTTAAACAAAAAGTTGCTCTGACAAAGGTTTGATCCCAAACACACAGCTTAATATCCTTTGCAAAACATGAAGGCGTTTCTTTGGCCTCTGACCTCCTTCTTGTTAGCTATTCTCGCACTCCTTCGAACTCTGAATTCCAAACGGTCAGCACGATCTAAGTTTCCCGTTTTGTCAAGGTCAGTCTGTTCATTAGTGTTATCCAGTTTGCCTTCTTGCTCATTATCAGGCTGAGAACTGTCCTCCTTTTCTGAGTCAATTTGCACCTGTACCTGGCTAGTGTCAGAATCAACAAACTCATTCCTTGCTGTGAGAAACTGAAACTTCCATACCCTGTTCCTCATTGACTATAACAGGCAGATTGTGAACCTGAATCCCACCATCCTCATCAGAGGCACTCTGTGGTTCCAGCTGAGTCACAACACTACTCACATTTGCATGTTTTCAAACTACTACATTGGCAGAAGCTGCCACTTTTGGACTCTCGCTTGCTGAGGTGTTCTAGTGAGTGTCTCTGTAGATCTTAGAAAACTATTTCTTGATTTAAGTCGTTGATGTGCTGGCTGATACCCAAACAGGGGATGAGCTGGAGATGTCACTGCCTTGGTCCTTTCACTATTGGCTGCTACGTCTCGGCGGATGTCAGGTGGTGCAATACCGGCTAAACTGTGTAATTTCTCCAGTGGGGTAGGGCGCATTATCACGAGGTGTCTGCGTCCTACACCTACACTAAAATTCCACAATCCCTCATCAGCATGGAATGGCAATGCTGGCTGGGGTGGTGTCCCCTCCAAAATAACCCTTTCAAAATCAGGTGTTTTTTTTAGTTGTTGTTTTTTTTTTTGTCTTGGCATCCATCCTATACCTAAGGACGAGGTGATTTGGTCCTCAATTGCTTTTCAACCACCTTTATTTATTTATTTCGTATCAAAAACATTGCATAAAATAGTTTGTCTAAAAATGATAAAATAAAGGGATTGCAAGCTATTTGACAGTTTTAGACCAAAAACAGGCAACAGTGACTGCATTGTCTGTAGCTTTAAACAATTATTCTTCTGTGCATGAAGCAGGGCATTGTTTGTTCTGCTCCACTGTCACACAAGGTGGTGGAGGATTCTTTTAGGTCATGCCATTTTGCCAGATTGTCTTCTGATCTGCCAACACCACT